ATTTTCACGAGTGTGCCACTTTGGTGACTAAACACTCAATCAAACTTAATGACACTTGTGCTTAAAATTGCAAAATATGATTCAATTTTCCCGAATGAATCAAACATATACATATACATATTATGCAACAATTTATAACATAAGGCACATGCATAATTTTGTATATAATTTCAATAACATGTATAATTTCATAAACTTATATGCTATGAAATTTTAAATTAATCATTGATTATACCAAATATATCATCAAAGATATAAAACATTCAACTAGTGAAAATAACAGATATAGAAATGGCATATTTACGAAAATTATTAAAGCACTAAATCAAATCTCAACCCTTAAAATTTATGCATGCTATAAAATAAAGAATCTTATGTGTCATATAATGTAAGAAATTTCTAATAGAATCGTGCACGCTCTAATTGAGTCTGCTATGGGTCTATAGCAAAACACCTCTAGAATACCACGTGCATTACTCTTAGTGCATAGACCGCAAATACAAGTGCATGCAACACGCATAATCAACAGCTGCATAGACACGCCTATTGGTTGAAACCCAAAAGACATGACTATTGGTTTAAACCATGACTATTAGTTTCATAAGACATGACTATTGATTAAAAATCAAAGACATGACATCCATATATATATATATATATATATATATATATATATATATATATATATATATATATCGAATGAATATTTGTGACCCAAACTAAAACATGCCATGGTACATTCTTGTATGAGTGGTACTATTTCACTTACAACTGTCATAAACAGTCATGTCCTCTTGATATTATTGACAGTAGGTAACACTGGTACATGAATTTCTATGCCTAACGTGATATGTATGACACCTAAAAAAGCGACATTTATTACATTTGTAACGTTACATCTATAACATGATTAAATTTATTTACTTTTAAATAGGATTCTCTTTAGAATGAGTTATTCATTGTAAAGAAATTAGAGAGACGTTATAATAAATAACTGCGTGTGTAGGAAAATATTCATGTTGTTGTGATAAACACCCCAAAACAAAAAAATGTTGTTGCCATCAGCATGTTAACCGTGCATGGAAAATATTCACGTTAAAGCAACTGTGTGATGACACTCATATAGAGACTGATTTATATATTTCATATATCAGTATTAGCATAAATTTTGAAGACCTTGTACGTACATGTTTGTAATATAGTACAAGCATACTAAATATGCTTTCCACACATATGGAATTTACGTATATACATATTTTAACACGATATATATACATGAAATACAGATTATATAGATTATATATATATATATATATATATATATATATATATATATATATATCTGTATCCTTATCCATCTCAAACATGTATTGTATATAAGTATTATACTATACTATTAACAATATAGCGTTAACAAATAAATCAAATTTATGCATCATAGTCCATGTTGGCTCTGATACCACATGTAAGAAATTTTGAATACAAATAAACTCATGTATCCAATGCATAAATTTAATAAGAAAACATACCCAATATGAAACTTAGAATGAAAATCTATTTAAGAGAATTACAACGAAAACAATCTTCAACCCTCTCCTATGTCTGCAAAATCGGATGATGGACTTTAGGGCTTTTACACATATATATAGTGAGGGTTGGGACCGTTCCATTCATACTTGAAGAGATGTGTAGTTCCATCAACCGACATAACTCTTTATATGTGATTATTAATTCTAAGGGTGCAACCTCTCTTATATGTATATATAAATAATATATTTAATTAATTATTGATAAACTACTAGTTTGCTTAGACTTTGGTCCTTTGTGAATTTTTTTTCCTTTAAATTTGATCCTAAGCATGCTAATTTTTGATTACCTAGTTTGTGGTTGTTGTAATTATGTGTAATCAAAATGATAAATGTGTTCAATATGTTATTTGAGCTCATATACATGACTATCTTCGTTACGGTGAATGAGCATACTTAGTGTTAACATTTTGTATGTCCTATGATTTTTTTCGTCATGCATCCATTGGGAAAGAAAATGGGAAAAGTGTTTTAAAACAAATGAAATTATTTTGGGAAAAGTGTTTTTTTCTAAAAGTGGTTGCGAAAACCGAACGCCTAGGAGGCGCCTAGTGGTCCGTGTTGTTAGTGTGGTTTAGAGGAAGCTAGAGGGAGACTCTAGTGTGGTTGAGTTACCTAGGCCCAGACGACGCCATGGAGGTGCCATGTGGTCCGGGAAAGCGAGCCAATCATTCCCTCGTGGCGCCATAGAGATGCTATGGGCCGGATTGTATTAACGGTTTGGAACGACAAAAAAGAATTATTTTGGAAAATGGAGAGCGACATTGGCATGACATTGCATTTCATTAGCATATTTGGTGTATTTGTGATTGGATGACATTTATTTATACACTTCTTGTTGTGATTATTGATGTGCATTTCCTATGGTATGATCCCACCTACTTTTTACCTATTCTTTGCGTGGATTTATGGGGTCATAAGAAGTGTGTCTTAAACACTTCCTACCGAGCTTATGCTCACCCCATTATCTTAACATTTTTCAGGTTAGGAAAAAGAAGTAGCAGACGACAATCCACCACAAATCTAGATTGGATCGGGATTATCATTTTGTGGTCTTTTATGTAGAAACATGAACCATATTCTCTTGTAATGACTAAGTGTAGTTTGTATAATGTTGTAGTAGTGGATGTTATAGAAACAAATGTAATCTTAATTATTTTTTAAAACTTTAGTTTAATTAGTATAATGTTGTAAGTTACGAATTTTTAAATTTTAGTTATATTTCATGGACTGTAACTTAATGTAATTAAGTGCGTTCCTTGTTTGAATGAGATGGAGGAACGGGACATTTTTATATGTATGTAATCATCTTTGGAATGTGGTATAATATTTGTATTGTGTGTTGGGACATGATAGATTAGTTTTAAGGCCAAGTGAGGCCGTTACATTTTTATGTATTTCAACAGATTGTAGAGAGACTTTTTCTGTGAAGGTCATGCCGAAATTTTATATATTATTATTATTATTATTATTATTTTGATATCCTTTTGGGTTCTAACATTCTAATCGTGGTATACTGATAATATAGAATGATCAACTAATTAAATAATCACATTTGCTAAATAAATACATTTTTTATATATATTATATGGATAACAGATGATACATGCTTCGTTCAATTAAATTGATTCAACTTACATAAAATATAAAATTGTTATAATTAAATTCATGGTAGAATGGGGATGGTTTAAGTTTTGAGCACGGCTATATGTGATTGTGTTTTTATTTTATTTTATTGTTTTGTTAAAAGGTCTTTCTAATTGAATATCCTCCACTGGTATTAGTCCCATGAGAGAATGTAATTGTGTTTCTGGACAATGAAAAAAAACATAGACCTTATATATAAGCAACTCACCCAATATCTTTATAATCTATACCTGCCCTACCACATTTAGGGAGCTGAAACACTTGGTAAAAACAAAAAACAAAGAATAATATTTATTGATGGGTAAGATTGATAGTAAAAATAATAACTACAAGAAAAAATTATCAAACAAAATTTTATAAAGTTTTAAGAATTTCAATTATCTAAGAGCCAAATATATATATATATATATATATATATATATATATATATATATATATAATCATAAAATTGAACCAAACAGGCTCCATGTTTTTAGGTAGTTTAATTGAGAATCGGATAGGAACGAAGTGAGAGAATAAAAACTAGTGTCATGTAAGCCTGGGTATCCTCCCCTACCCCGTTTATATTGCATAATTTTTTAGGGGCAAAATGGGTATGTGGGTGTATTTGTTATCAATCATTTTAGGTTTGCCTATAAAGAAAAAGAAAAGGAAAATAAAAATTGATTTTGAAATTTTTTTTTTTTTTTTTTTGTCATTGGCAAGAAACTCATATACACTCACTTTGTTCATTTGAAGATTCAAATCCTCACCATATACTTTGAAAGATAGATGAGATACCACTTAATCACAAGACCTTGGTGGAAAATAAAAGGTGATGGTAAAGGTTATAATGAAAAGTGTTGGGTTAATTGAATTTTTGGAAAAAAATATATATATATAAAAAAAAAATTAAAAATGTGTTGGGTTGGATCTCTTTTTTTTTTTTTTTTTAAAAAATAATAATTTTTTTTTTTTTTTTTTTCTTGAGCCTTCACTAATGGACGGCCCGAAAATTTATTCTGTGGGCCTCATCAGCATTTTTATACATGGCCTTACATGATATTTCTCATTTTCTCTAATTTTCTAAGCTTATTATTTGTATCATTGCATTGTAGCTTCATGCAATAGCAAAAGTTTATACCATCATAATGTTAAAACTTGTTGAAGTACGAGATACTCACTTTGCACAAATTTTGAAAAAGAGTATATCTATTCTTTTCTGGGTTAAAAGGTAATGTTTATTATGTTTATTTTTCTTAGTTACTTGTTTAATATGATATGATTAAAATTTCTTGTTGTAATTTGGGTTGCTCAATCTAAATTAACCTTAATTTTTGTAGACTTTTTAAGAAATTTTAAAGTCTTGGATAGACTTAGGTTTTAAATTTGTGTTTTGTTTAAGTTTTACCAATCCGAATCTAATATGAAATTGTCTACCTAGGTTTACTTTTAAATTTTTATTTTTATTATTATTATTATTAGGATAAATTACACTCAGACCCCCTGAAGTTAGGTTATATTTCAGCTAGATGAAGATTTTGATTTTAACTTTCACTTACATCACAATTTACTTTTTGCCATTTGACACATGTAAATTAACCCTTTTACCCTCAAATATTTAATACAAAATATATATAATTTTAAATGACAAAACCCCCCTATCTCTCACTCTCTCTCTCTCTTTATATATATATATATATATATATATATATATGAAAATGCTATTTTGAACGGTTACTGTTCACCCAAAAAAAAAAAAAAAAAAAAAAACCCAACAAATATGTGTCAATTGTTGACTTGCTCACTATCCTTTTCTTCAGTCTCTCTCTGCTGCAACCCTGTCATCTCTCTCTTTTCTCTTTCCTGCGGTGTCCCGTCACCACCATCATCATTGTCACAATCAAGTCTGCTAATTCCTCCACCGTCGAAACCCTTTCCTCCTCCATCACCCCCACCATCGAGGCAAGGCCACCAAGGACAAGATCGCCGGGAACTTCCGGGGATAAATTGAAACTTAGTTACAAGCAAAGATGATTGACGTCGACTAGGAAGGAATTTACTGGCAAGGAAATGGGCGAGTAAGGCGCACGGTGAAATGGTGATGTAAAAAACAACTGTCTGATGAATGCCAAATGAGAAAAGGATGATGAACTACGATGAGTGGTCTGTTCAGTGGTGAAGCGGGTTCACTTGTCTGCCAATGCTTCAACTTGGTGGTGACCACGGATGAAGCGACATAGAGCTCTGAAGAAACCACCAACGAAGAACAAGAAAGATTGTGCTCGATCGACGGCGAACACGGGATGGTAGAGACTGACGACGGTCTATGGGTTCGGCAAGAACAACGAATTGGCGACAGTGAAGTAACCTAAGATAATGGAGCATGGTGGTGCTGTTTTTGGTGGCTATTGTGGATTGGTTTCTTCATCTTGCCGCGTTGTTCCATCTTCATCTTCAATTGACCGCCATCTTCATCTTCGTCTTCAACTTACCCCAATTTTCTCCACCACGTCTCTCCATTAAACCCCCTAATTTTTTAACCCAAGAAAGCGAAGGATGATTCTTGACATTAATACCGTTTGTAATTTGGCCGGAACTACTCATCGCCGACAATAAAATAGTACCGGGAAATGAGAAGAGAGTTATGTAACGACCCGAACCCGGGGGTTCGAATCGTTAACTTGGTCCTTATCCGAACCCAAGGTCAACTAAAGACAACACCATCTTTTCCTACGTCAATACTTGACACACGAGTCAATCCAGGGTCTAAAATACTCCAAAGGCACAACTTTACAAAGATGGTCAAATGTACAAGTCAAAGGGGAACCTAGGGTTTCGGTCAACTGATGGTGGGGGTCAGCCGGCCGAAACTAGGCCCCTGAACCTTGAACTCACTGGAATGGCCTCTGACTGTGTTCAATAAAACCCAAACCTACACTGGACCTATTTTGCAATCTAATTCTGAATTCACGGCATCAGGATACAACCTTATATAATTGATAGGCGTCATTGATTGAACAAAATAAATTTCATTTCCCATTCATCATTAAATAATTACATAGTCTTAATTTGCATCAAATTGCCATAAAGTTTATAGTTACAATGTATGGTCTTGGTTTACTAAATGTATACACCCCACTAAGAGTTGAGACGTTACAAAAGAATGGTGAATATACAAAAGGTGACAAAATTGAACTTCTAGTCCTCCTTAGCCTTGTGATAAGTAGGCATCCACTACTTTCTCCCCGAGTCTTGGAAAATGTTAAATATGAAGGGGTGAGCGAATTGCTCAGTATGTAGTATCTAGGACACACCTCTTGTGACCCCCTAAATCCAAACAATGAATAGAATAATATGGAACGGGATCATGCTATGTCGGGAAAAGTACAACATCAGTTTCAAGTTCAAAACATACAATGTCGTGCCATGAAATGTAATGCCATGTATGTCATTCCCCATTTTTAAAATCATCCATCACTTCACAAACTGTTAATATAACCCGTCTGTTGGTGTCTCCGCAGCGATACGAGAGAAAGATTGGCTACTGACCCTGACCCTTGGTACTTCCGTGGAGTCATTTGGGGCCCAGATAGCTTAACCACACTAGGGTGTTTCCCCTCATTCTCTCTAGATTACATTAGCACACCGGTCCTTTGGTGACTCCGCAACGACCGAGTTTTCTCAAAACCATTTAATCAAATTTCTTCCCAAAAACCCATTTCTTTTTCCGATTGAAATAACTTTGCCCATTTTCATGCCCAATGCTATGAATGCATGTCACATACTTTTCCATTTCCATGGAAATAAAGAAATTTCTACTACATAATTTAACATGCTTCCATATAGTCATTTCTAGCAAGATAGTAAACATCATCGCATGGAAATGTACATTTAGGCATGCTATTCATACAATTTACTTAATACACATAATCATATATTTCATCTACAACAATAAATTTCATTTTCAAGGGCATCAATTCAAATTAAGCATGTTAATTTGCACAATATTAACTACACACAAAATCATATACTTTATATACACAATTAAATCACTTTAGAGTAAAATCAACACAAATTAGCATGCTAGGACACTAATTAAGTAAAATTAACTCACGAAGGTGGAAGATTGTGTGGGTTATAAACCCCTACCTCAAGATTATGCAAAACCCCCAAATTAGTGCCCTAAATCTCGAAAATCAAAGAATGCACCAAACTAGAAATTGCTCCAATCAACTCATAGATCTCGCCGTGATCTTCAATTTGCCGCAAACGACATTAAAAAATACCAAGTATTGAGGGAGATATCAAGGATCAAAGCATTGAAGCAAAAAGAAAAGAAAAATGGAAGTTTGAGAGGAAAAGAGAGATACCAGCGGGAGAGAGAAAGTGAAGAATGGAAATGAGGCTTAAAATGCCTCTTGGTCTATCTTTAACATAGATGTGGATCCCAATACTTTTCTTTTATTTTTTCTTTTTCTTTTATTTTCATTTTACACCACATATATATGTACACAATTAAAGAATTTTACAACCTTATATAACACATTAAATAAAATCAATATGATGCAAATGGACCCAATTAAAACCCCGTATAAAATAATTCGGGTAGCGGGTCCCATACGGGACCGTCCGGCTCGAAAAACTAAAAAATGCCAATGACCACCCTTACATTTCAAAGAGTCCTAAACTCAATAAAATACCCCAACCAACTATTAAACACAACCGGCACACTCCGCAGTGTCTGGTACGCAAAACGATAAAAGACAAAAATGCCCTTACAACGACAAAAATTCTGGAAAAATGAAAAATGGAGAAAAATTGGAACATCACAAGTTAGGGTTGCAGCGTTGGTGATGTCGGATTTGGGTGATGGATGAGTAGGATTGGAGATGATGATGGTATGAGGAAGAGGAAGAAGAGGAGAGAAAAGGCCATATGGAAAAACATAGGGGTAGTTTGGCCACAAAAATAGTCAATAGGAAGTCAAAGGATAGCATGGTCATTTAGCACCTCAAAAGTACTCTAACCCATCAAAAATTGACATTTAGGGTGCAATTGAAATGCTAAACCACTAATTCAAATAGAAGTGAAATCTAAAACCAAAATGTTAATCTAGCTAAAAAATAACCTAACCGGGGTTTGAGTATAATTTATTATTTTTATTTTATTTTATTTAGAACAAATAGAAATGTAAGCAAACTAATAATCTAACAATAGTTAAATTAATATTAATCATTTGATTAGACTAGGTCAAAGATTACACCATATCTTTAATTAGAATGAGTAATTAAATATATCTAGGGATGTGTTGATCGACAAACCCCACATCTTTTAACATTTTATGGAAGAGTCTCAGCCCTCCTCTATAAATGCAGAGAAAGAAGGTTGGAGTCCATCATCCGATTCCCAGATAGAAAATTAGGGGGTTGAAGGTTGTCTGGTATCAGAATATATAAAGAACTTTCCCCAAATGTTGATTTTAAATAGATTTTTCATATTCGGGTATGTCTCCTATCAATTTATGCATTTAGAGCACTGAGTTCGATTTGTGTTAAAATTGCTTACGGTTTATGAATTCATTTCTCCATTTTAGTACTAGAAGTTTTATTTTGAAAGACTAATGTAAGAAGATGACAACCAATGAGATTTTATGTTGTCTATGTACTGGTAGAATTACTGTTTTGATAAACTTTCTTGTTGTGTATGGAAGCATCAAGTCAGCCCTTTGGGATTAGAATTGGAGGGAATTAGGCTTTAAATTTCAACTAAATTCCTTCCAATTATTAACTCAAGGTGCCGATTCAGTCCTCCCAAACATTGCATTCAGGTAATTAATAATTTAGAGGCAAAACTGGAACTTATCTAATTTTTTCAACCTTTGAACCTGAACTAAAAAATATAAGCAAACATTACACTTTATGGCCTTTGAGTGATACAGGCAACCTATTACCTCAACTCAAAGGAAATTTAGCTACTCAAAGCGCTTAATTTATTATATTCTTAATGGCTTGAACCGTTATCGTAATAAATTAATTTAATCTGAGATTACTGAAATTTTATCTGAAAATTTTAGAAAGATGATTGAAATATACTCACAGAATTAACTGTACTTAACTTAAAATTGCTTTGTTTTGGACTATTTCGATAGGCTTGAGGGTTTTGACATACTGGCCAAGAGTTTGTCATTTGGATTGATAAGTATAAAACCTATTCAAGATTTTAGAACTCTTTTATAGCCTTGAGACATGTTTGTCATTAGGTTAGCTTTTTAGGACTCTTTTGGCAGGTCAATTTCATTGAGACAAAAATATTTCATTCAAATTACTAAGTGTTTGGGTTTTAATACTTATAGCATTTGCAATCATGCAAGAATGGAAAAAGCTTGGGGTGTAATTACAGAAATAACAGATATATACTTTAAAGTTTCATTAATAAGCTTTTACATTTTATATACATAGGAAATGCTTCACACGCATTTTCAAATAAGTAACACGTACAACATATATTTAAGCAAATAGAATTTGCTGAAACAACAATGGATTTCTAAGATGGAAAAGGGTACCCACCCATATATCATTAGCATTTTACTACAGTAGGATATGAAGAATCCATGGCAATGCCACAAATGCCTTCCTTAGCAGCAATGTCTCTTTCCATCATAATATATCCCTTATCACCCCACATAGTGCCCCATGAATTCTTGACTAACCAATACTTGGTCCCGTCAGCAGTTGTCCCATACCCAACTGCAGTAACACCATGGTCTAATTCAGTACCACAATCTCCAGTGAAAACCCCGGACGTGTAAAACTGGAAGGCTGCTCCACTAGCATCAATGGAAACTGAAATTGGTTGATTCGCCACAGCCTTCAGCAGTGCCGCCTCACTGTTGGCAGGCACCTTTTCGTAGCCTGTGATCTTCGCTGCAGGGGTCTCCTCCTTAGTCTTGCAAGTCCCATCTGTTCCATCGTATGGGTATGTTGCTTCAGTGGAAATGCCTTTGTTTTTTATAATGAATTCGAAGGCATCTTCCATGTAACCACCTTCGCAGCCTTGATCCACACCTTTGTCACAGTCCACAAGTTCTTGCTCTGACAATGAGATCAACTTAGTGGTTGTGAGCTGATTAATCCCTTCTGTAGCAGCTATTGCTGAAAAGGCCCAGCAACTTCCTGTTGAATGATTAACAATAGTACTAGTCATGAGAAAAAATTTTAAGGATGTGAAAAACATAAGTTAGACAATTAGGTGGAATATTGTCTTACCACATTGACCTTGATCCTTAACGGGTGTGACAGCCCCTTTTTTCCTCCAGTCCATGCTAGATGGGACTGCGGTCACATTTTCATACCTAAACGAAGTTGCTTTAGATGGCCTTGAATTTGAAGAATTGATCTTGAAACCATTACGAGATGCCTGGAATTCTTCATTAGTTTGGTCAGCAAACTGATTGATGCCCAGCTTGTATGGTCTGTTCCCGGCATTGTTGAAGGATTCTATGAACTCCACGTTGTCCTTGAATATCTTGAAACGCCTTTCCTTCTCTGCATTGTCCTTGTACACACGTCCATAGAGTGCCATCCATTGCTCGTGCTTCTCTAGCATTGATGCTTCATAGAGTGTACGCGACACTACTTGAGAAGCCCACAGCCCCAAAATTAACAAAGTAGCAATGACAAATTTTTGGTTGTGTGTTAAAGCCATAGTGAAACTTGAAATGGCTAAGTAGTGATGGTGTTATGAGTAGATACAATTCCATGTCTGCGAGAGTTTGGTATTTATAGTAGTTGATGCATTCTCTTGAAGTTTTTGCTTTCTCAAATTGCATTTTTGTTCCGATGTGAATCTTGCGATTGAGAAGGATATAATCCTCTAGTTTGCCAGGAAAATTGTAATGACTTGGACAACCAATTTCAGTACCGTAAACGCTGCCCCATTAAAACTAGATTTTATTTTATTAGATTAATCTATTACCCTGACAAAATAGTTTTCTACCACATAGAAACTTATTCAATAGTCCTTGTTTTGTGAGGAAAAAACAGTATGTTTTATTAAATAAATATTAAAGATGTAAGTTTTTGTTGTATTAATTGTATTTACTTTGTGTCTAGCTGAAACTTATTTTTCCTGGCTTGTTCTGAGCCTTGTAGAATAATACATTTGAATAGAAAGTAGTTTCAAATGTGACATTTTTTATTTATTTTTATATATGTGACTTTAATTGGAAGAAATTCTATCTTTCCAAACAACCTCATTTTATCACATGAAGTTTAATATTAGGAAATGCAGCATAAAAGGCACCATCAACTTTCAAAGTTTTGTTTCAAAAAAAAAAAAATAAAATAAAAAAAAATAAAAAAAAAAATAAAAAAAAAACTTCATTTCTCTAAGATTTGTGACATGATATGAAAAGAATCAGGTGAATTACTCACAGGGCAGTGAGTGGAGTGACAAAAGATATATTATCGTTCAATAAGAATTTTTCTTCCATGGAAGAACCATAAGGTTGAAAAGGAAGTAGATTCAAGCTGCATGTTTGGTTTAATTTTTTATGAATATTTAAAATAACAGAGAAAAAATAGTTTAAAAATTCATTTAGTTGACAGTTTCTAATGAAGACCAAAATTCAGACATGTCTGTATTGGTCATCTCAAAACTTTTTTTTTTTTAAATGATTTTTTTAAAAAATAGTAAATAAACAAAAATGGTCCTAAATCTTAGTAGACTATTTTTTTTTATCTTAGCTTGGAAAACTTTGACAACCAAACCTTTTTTCTGGTTCAGCAATCCAGTGGAGGTCATTAGCCCAGCTGGATTCAGTTAAGGACTCCTGTTTATCATGGAAGTATTGGTGCTCAAATGTAAAATATATTGATGAATATAAGAAATTGGAAAATAGGGATCAACTGCTGGCCTTTAAGCTATATGCTAGAACGTATGGAAAGTAATCTTTAAGGACGAAAGGATAAGTGAAACAGTGATAGTAGGCAAAACAGTGAATCAGTTTCATCAATATATGAAGGCAATATTAGCACAGACAGAGAATATAATAGAGGAGGTTCTGCTGCTAATAAGGTCCCTTTAACCATGTGAAATTAAACTTCGATGCGATTCTCAGTGCAATATCTGGAGAAATGTGATAGCATGAGAAGGCAACATGGCAGCCCATTTCCTTCGTAAATGGAAACTTTAAACTACGGTTCTAGAGGATAGGTTGCCGAAGGAAGTAAGTGAGATTTTGCTTTCAGATTGTATGTAATTTTTTTTAACACAAACTAATTATTATTATTATTATTATTATTATTATTTAAGTTTAGACTAACCCGAATCCAATTTGAGACTGTCAACTTAGGTCTAATTTAATTGTTTAATGGTTAGAACAAATAGGAGTTTATGAATTACTTTGTGCCTTCTATGAAAAAGGGTAAAATTGTAAATTTGTTACAATAGTTTCTTTTTCTTTCTTTTTCCAAAGATGATTATTATCATTTTATTTCTTTTCTTTTATTAATCAGTTAAACAAGACAAACAATTAATATTATTTTTTTTTTCCTTCTTTTTTCTTTTTCCTCAAAACTAATATTTTCCTTTCTAATCTTGGTATACTGATAATATAGAATGATCAACTAATTAAATAATCACATTTGCTAAATAAATACAATTTTTTTTTTATATATATGATATTGATAACAGATGATACATGCATCTTTCAATTAAATTGATTCAACTTACATAAAATATAAAATTGTTATAATTAAATTCAAAGAAAAATGTGGATGGTTTAAGTTTCGATATGAGCACGGCTGTATGTAATTGTGTTTTTATTTTATTTTATTGTTTTGTTAAAAGGTCTTTCTAATTGAAGATCTCCACAAGTATTAGTCCCATGAGAGAAAGTAATTGTGTTTCTGGACAATGAAAAAAAAAACATAGACCTTATATATATATATGCAACTCATGGGATTATGATAGTAAAAATAATATCTATACCCGCCCTACCACATTTAGGAAGCTAAAACGCTTGGTAAAAACAAAAAACAAAAAACAAAGAATAATATTTATTCATGGGTAAGATTATGATAGTAAAAATAATATCTACAAGAAAAAATTATCAAACTGTAATAAATATATGTGTATGTGTGTGTGTGTGTGTGTATATATATATATATATATAGTAATATTAAGTGAGAGAACTGAAAAGAGCTTTCAGAGAAAGAAATGAAAAAAACTTTCATTCAAGTATGTTCAAAGTAGTAGATACATATGGCCTTTTATAGGCTTAAAATAAGGCTTCCCAAACAAGCCACATAATGCAATCTTCCTCCATACGCCAAAACAAGGATATTTTCATTGATGACATTATCAATTTGTGGACCCCATATATAACACTCCCCCTTAGCGTCCACTATATTACATTAAGAATATGCCTCGTTAAAAACCTAGCTAAGGAAAACCCATTGGGACAAAACCCTAGCGAAGAAAAAAGAGTACAGTATTCTTGTGTATCTGAAAATGGTATTGCATAGGTTAAAACTGCCTCATTAAAACCTTACCAAGAAAACCCAGTGGGAAAAAATCTGGACGAAAGAAAAAGAGTACAGTATACCAATACCTATTCGATCAATTGCTCCCCCTCATTGTTACATTAGTTCAACCCTGAAGATCCTTTAATTGACGCATTCCAATGTTGTGCACTAATTTCTTGAATGTTGTAGTTAGAAGCGTTTTAGTTAATAGATCTGCTAAATTTTCATATGAACGTATCTTCTGAATATCAATATCACCCTTTTTCTGGCGTTCATGTGCATTAAAGAATTTTGGTGAGATATGCTTGGTCCTATCACTTTTAATATACCTTTTTTTTATCTGTGCAATGCATGCCGCATGATTTTCATATAATACTGTTGGGCTATCTTTTATTGATGAGAGAACATATGTTGTTCGAATATGTTGGATCATTGATCTTAACCAAATGCATTATCTACTTTCCTCATGAATTGCGAGTATCTCAGAATGATTTGAAGAAGTTGCAATCATTGTCTGTTTTATAAATCGGCATGATATAGCAGTGCCACCACAAGTAAACACATATCCTGTTTGTGAATAAGCTTTATGTGGGTCAGAGAGATAGTCGGCATCTACATATCCAATTAATTGAGAATTTTGTGCTTTTGAATAAAACAATCCCATATCAATTATGCCACGAAGATATCGCAATATGTGTTTGATTCTATTCCAATGTCTACGGGTTGGTGCAGAACTGTACCGTGCTAATAAATTGACTGGAAAAATTATGTCAGGTCTTGTGTAATTTGCAAGATATAAAAGAGCTCCAATCGCACTGAGATAGGGCACTTCAGGACCAAGGAGTTCTTCATCATATAAAAACGTTTCAGAATCTTTTCTGTATATGTTGATTGATGGATGAGAATACTGCTCGAAAAATGTTCAACCTGCAGCCCAAGGTAGGATTTTGTGTTTCCGAGATCTTTCATTTCGAATTCTTTCTTCAAATAAATGGCTGTCTTTTCAATTTCGTCCAATGTTCCCATAAGATTCAGATAATCAACATTTACTGCAACAATAACAAAACCAAATTTTGATTTGTTAATAAAAATGCATAGATAAATATAATTGTTCACATACCCTTCTTTGAGTAAGTAATTGCTAAGGAGATTGTACCACATTCGTCCATATTGTTTCAATCCATATAAGGATCGTTTTAATTTTATCAAGTACATACTACGTGGTTTTGTTTCAGGCATTTTAAATCCTTTTGGGATTTTCATATAAATATCACTATCTAGTAATCCATATAAATATAATATAACCACGTCCATTAGATGCATATACAATCTTTCAGTGATTGCCAAATGTATTATGAATCTAAATGTGGGTATATCGATCACAGGGAAGTATGTTTCCTCATAATCAATACCAGGTCTCTGTGAGAAACCTTGAGTTACCAGTCGGGCTTTGTATTTCACGATTTCATTTTTCTCTTTACGCTTTTGTACAAATACCCATTTGTACCCAACAGGATTAACACCCTCAGGTGTTTGGACAACAGGTCCAAATACTTCACGTTTAGCTAATGAATTTAGCTCTGCTTGTATCACTTCTTTCCATTTTGGCCAATCATTTCTTCGTTGACATTCTTCGACGTTTTGAGGTTCCGGATCCTCATTATCAATATCAAGAGTAACGACATATGAGAATATGTTGTCGACAACAATTTCATTCCTATTCCATCTCATTTCATAATTTAGTGAGATCTTATCATTTTCAGGTATCTTTGCCTCATCAAGGGCATGTGCCTCATCAAGGGCCATATCATCATCTGTTACCTTTGCCTCATCAATATTTATTATTTCATCATTTTTAGATACCTGAGACTCATCAAGAGCCTCTGACTTATCAAAGGCTATTATCTTAGATTAATCAATAATATATGTTGCTCTTTTTGCGGCCTCTTCAGGAGTGCCAGCTTTTATTTATGATTTCCTCTTACGAGGAACAATATCTTTTGTACCGACTGGTCTACCACGCTTCAAGCGTGTTTTTGATGCATTACTGACAGAAGGTCCCTCAGGAACCGCAATTTGTGCCGGAATATTTGCAGCTGGTATATGTAATTTTATTACTTTCTTTGTATCAGTAAATGCATCAAGTAATTGATTTGTAACATTTTGCAAGTGAATGAT